TATTTTTTAAATTTTCATCTTCGAGCTATTATGCAGATATAATGAAGAATATCTGGTAAGGAAAGATCTTAGTATTCTCTAATGACGGCAGGTGCATGATGACTTCGATCGCGAGAAGCAAGGAACGCACTGATTCCATAAAGGCAGGCAAGGACGAACGCCAGGAACTGAAAAGTATTCGTAAAGGAGTAATTCGCAAGTGGAATCAAATTTAACTTGTTTTGTTTGTTAACTGCTGTTTTAACGCCGCAGTTCGCGTTGCGAATGTTTCACAAGAATGCTGGGTTGTGAACAAAACTTTCGCCCCAGGCGGGACTAGAACCCGCACCTCTCGCTTACCGGGCAAGTGCGCTACAAGTTACGCTACCGGGCAGCGTTCCGCCCGAGTTTTAGAGTCCCCCTGGGCATAGTTTTGTTTATAACCCAGTATTCTTACGACAGTAAACTTAGCTTTTCAATGAGTCCTTTAGCAGTCTCCGCTTTTGACAATCATCGTGTCTAATAGGTGAAAAATATACTTCACGTAATAAAGGGCACTCCGTCAGGCCAAATCAACTCAAATGCTACTACACCTGCAAATGGAAGTGAAATGCCAGGCGCATCCCAGAAGGGGAAACGTCAAGTACTTTATCCTTTATCCAGAAGCTAATAGTATTGTTAACCGGTCCAGCAGCAAATTGTCAATGTTCGGTAACAAAATCATAATATTTTTGACTTGAGAGAGACCTACCCTAGTCGCAATAAGAAAAGACATTAGCATGGATCTAGCCATAAAAAAGATAAAGTGACCTGGGCAATATCGCAAGGGACCGGGGCATACTCTAGAACTAAATCTTAGAGGGGCACAAACTTCGAGGAAAATGGAAATTACTCACGCAACCTAGATTCTCTCCTCCCACGCATAGGCTCAGTCCTGTTTCTTAACAAAAATGTTTTGAAACAAATGAAAAATGTTTGCGTGGTTCTGAATGTGTTGCCACAACAGTGCCCCTTATCTTGGGATAGCTCCTTAACCTGTTCTGGTATTGGGTTGAACCCGCCTCTGGAAATACGTCCAAATGTAAGCTGGAGAACTTGCCTGCAAAAACGCTCTTTCAATTCAACGTATTCATTAATGGAGAGAACATCCCTCAGGCTCACCTCGTCCATTAGGCAAGCAAAAGGTTTGGGGTCTAGAAGGAGGCCCGTCGCGTGGCAGAAAGGCAGAGACGCAGGCGGGTTAGCGGACGAGATGGGGCGCGTGCTGTAGCGATTCAGCGCCAAGTTCAATAGAATATACATATTATATGTACTACAATAGGTCTCGCATAACACAGGCTACGCTGCGACTCGTTCTCTATTCAACTGCACCTCTGTCTTCTCGCCGTGAGACGGCGCCTCCGTCGAGTCACCCTAAAGGTTTTCTAAAGATTCTGAGTAAGCCGTCCCCCTTTTACAAATAGTTAATAACGGGTAGGGCATCGCTTCCACAATGGACAAAATCTAGCACAACTATTAATGTTTTCAATTTTGTACGATCAGTCCCAAAATCTGACAAATCCCGCTGGAGCGGCGTCATTTCGGTGGCATATGTAGTGTAAACGTCGTTTCCCTGTTGACTATCATTCGAAGGCAAGGAAAACCGGAACTCAGTCAGTAGGCAAATAAACATTCCACACCGATTGCTGACTATTGACATGGAAAAAAAGAACGATTTTTGAACCTGTATGCTATTTATGCCACTTTTAGAAAATGGAGTAGAAAAGCTGGTGATGTTATGTTTACAAGTAATTCTCCACACGCGAAACATATGATCAATGATCCAGAATCTTTTTATAGGCTAGAACAGGACCTTTTCCAAACACTGTCGTTGTCACGTTTCATTTGCAGCTACGCCTCACTTGACAA